ACTGTCTCCAACTCTTCTGTACTGCAAAGTGGTCAAGAGAAGAAAAACAAGAAGGATGTTGAGGAGTGTGATGTAGTTACAGGGACCAGAAAACCAAGATTACGGCCATTGTGCTCTGCTTTGCTTCCCCAAAGCATGACTAAAGTACCTCTGACAAGTGTTTACTGCATTCCACACGGTATTGTATGATGTAAGCATTACTTGTATGCATATCCATGTTTTCCTCACCTAACACAAGAGGAGATAAAAAAGGAAAATATGAAGTTTATCCAAGGATGCTTCCATCATTATTAATCAGAATATGTTAAATTTCTACTTACAGAAGGAGATGAAAGAACCACCCCATGATACCCAGCAAAACCCTTTCCATTTGTCCCCCAGACTTCCATCTCTAAAAAGACTTATTTGTGTTAAATTTATGAATGAGGTTAGGGCTTACAAAAGTGAAGGATTAATAACATTTGCCTGAGCCAAAAATAGTATGATAGGCACCATGCACGCTCCCCTACACAGCTCTGCCAATCCATCTCAAGTCTGACCTGCAGTACCCCTGCTGCTTTTCCAGTCCTAGGCCTCTCACCAGCAGAGGCTGCCAATGTAGCTGAATGGTGCCAAACTGTCTGGTGGTTTTGCAATATAGCTAAATGGGGACTACGATGAGATGAAACTCATTTCCACCCATGAGCTGAGCAAAGTTGTGAACTTAAGTGAAAGGATGGAGAACCAGGCCATAGAACGCTGAGCAGTCCTTACCAGCCACATACATAGAGACTAGGGAAATTAGAATAAATCGGGGGGGAAAAAAAGATGATATGACAAAGTCTGCAGAGACTTCTTGGCCACTCAAAGGTATGTTGAGTGAATGTCAAAAAGATGCACAAAATACCCCAAGTAGTATTTATAGTTTACTTCCTGACTTGCAAAACAGAAGGGCTGTCAGAATGGAATGTTAGACAACGCAAAGAATCTTTGACCTAGATTTTTAAAGGGAATTATAGAAGGTAAGGTATACTTATTAAAAAAAGTAGAGCCTAAATGGTTTTAACTTTACCACGTTAGCTCCTGCAATGCCAATTTAAACTATCACTTTCTATTAAAAAAAGAAGGTTAAATTGGGTAGTATTCAGTTCTGATTTAGAAACTCAATAGAAACCGAATGTTTAAGTCACAGTTGCAGCAGCTGAAACAGTATTTAAAGCTGTAGCCATCCTGACCCAAATAAAAAAAAAGGAAAAAGGAAACCCTTTCCTTTAAAACTATTACTGTAGACGTGGCTGCAGGGATTGCATCAGCTGCTAGTACTACAATTTAGGCTCTTTTCTGTAATTACAGATATACATTAGCATTACAAGGGGGAGGAAACAGTATTGTTGTGTTTAACAAGTTTTATCTATGTGGAGAAGCACTGATCCTGAAAGATGAAGCTAAAAATGAATGCAGAACTTGTTTTAATAGGCTGTTCCTCTAAGTATCCCAGCTGCCTACATTAGAGAAAAAACCTTCTCTATGACTAAAAACATTCATTTGTGAAGCAAATTTTGCACGCCTCAGTAACATGCATTTAGTTCCCAAAATATTCCAAATCCAGGTGTCACTACTTTCACTACATCACATGGAGACTTCAAATCCACATATTTTTCCCTTTTTAATCTTAGCACGTTTTTAACATAATTTTATTTAGAAATTTTCAAAGTTTTTCCTTTTAAATAGTACATTGCACTACCTACATTCTGTTATTTTCACTCAGGAAACAAACAAAAGTAAGAGGATTTTCCAAAGTAATGGGGGATGAGTGTGACAAAAGCCTGCAAACACTATCTGTCCAGGGGATATCTGGTGATCATTCTTTATACACACCCTGCACATTATAAAAATTAAAGAAAATTAAATATTTTTTTTAAAAAATTAACTTTTTACATAGACCTATAGAGAATAGTAAAAAACCAGTTTTATATAATATAGTTCAGTAACATTCTATTGCTTTTACCAATGAAATGGAAGCATCCTTTCTAGTGTTTGCTGAAATCAATGCTAATAAAGCCAGCGACCACATTTTAGAATTTCTCTAGATTATATGCTTGGCTGGTTTTCTAAAATAATTTTCAAACATATTGACTCTTGAATCAAAACAGGTCTGAAACTCTGATGCAGTAAACTAAGTATTATGTTTCAGTGTCTTGGATAAAATCTAGACAAAATGTAAATATAAACTCCACCCATCCTCCACAAAGGGGGAAAAAAAAAAAAAAAATCAAAGTTTTTGTTGAAAAATGTGAGTTCTACTGCTTTTCAGAACTCTATTTAATGCAGGTGAAGAATATATAAGACCAAATCTATAGATCTATCAGTAGAATCATACCCACCAAAAACATGAAGAGGTACTCCTGACCTGACCTGCAG